GCATGCAACCCTCTAAATCTGTTGTTTTTGTTTGAAACGTTTGCAGGAGCTATTAGAAGGTGGTACAACCCACCTTGGTATTCAGAGCAGATACCTTCAACTCCATATGATCCCCTGCTTTTACGTAGGGCCTTTGAGAAGGCATGCTCTGGACTGTCCTTATATTCTCTGAACTCAGTATTTTCTCAATGTTGATATATTTAAAATCCAATTGGTTGGAGGATAAGTTGAAAGGAAAAGTTGGATGAGGAAGTGCTTTCAATTGGTTGGACAAAAATAGAGGGGAAAATGGAAGGAGTGACCTATATTCTCTTGGCCATGTTTTCTAGCTACCATGAATGGATGGAGTTAGAAGTATAATAAGAGAGATAGAGAGGGCTATAGTTAACCAGTTCAGCAGGAAATTTTTTGATAGAAACACCTGAAGTAGAGCACTATTCTTAACTTTTTTTTCTCTTGATCTCTTGTAGGCTGTGCTAAAGAGACTTATGACAGATGTACCTTTTGGTGTGCTTCTATCTGGAGGGTTGGACTCATCACTTGTTGCTGCTGTGGCATCCCGCTATTTAGCTGAATCAGAAGCTGCTTGTCAGTGGGGGTCTCAGTTGCACACTTTTTGTATTGGCTTGAAGGTATCAATTCTTATTTTCACATGATATACTCATCTTCTATGTATATGTATATAGTTATATTTTTTGGTTGTTTCACTGTAATTTCCTTCTAAATGTGTGAGGACTACATAATCACATCGCATGCCTTTCCTTTTAGTGTAGTAGTCTATCTTAAATCCAATTTGATGAATTTTAAAGGGAATTCCAATTTATGTTTATTCTTTGTGATTTCTTATTCTCCTTCTATGAAGTATAGGGTAACCTTGGCCAGCTTATATACACTGCAAATACTGTGATTGCTTCCAAATGGATATTCAGTGTCAAACTGAATGTTCATGCATTTTTCCTGTCTTTTGTGCACTTTAAATACAGACTTAGGAGTATCTTACGACTGCACTTCTGAAAATTGAGTTGAATCCTTGATTACCCCTTTCTTAATAAGGAGAAATACCACTTTACTTTATCTTCAATTTGGTGTAAGTTTCTTCAACTTTTTATCTAGTAAGATAGTTGAAATTTTAATTAAGCTTTATGTGGCAGATATTGTCAGACCAATAACTTTGAAAAATTTTGTTTGCGAGTTACTTGATGCTAAATTGAGAGATAGCAAACTTCTTCCATTTCAGTGTGTATTGAAAACGTTGATAGATTTTGGATATTCCTAGTTTTGTTGTGTGTAATTGTCTCTTCTTGAGATTCTATTAGTCTTTTTCCTCTACTTTCCTTTCCATTAATTTACTTCCTTTCACATTTTCATTCTTCAGGGTTCTCCAGATCTAAAAGCCGCCAGAGAGGTAGCAGATTATCTTGGAACTCATCACCATGAGTTCCACTTTACCGTTCAGGTAATCTCATGTTTTTCCAGCAAAAACTAGGAGTATGATATATTGTGTGCATCCTTGGTACTTGAAAATTATGTCTTACTTTTTGTTGCAATATCAGGAAGGAATAGATGCTCTTGAGGAAGTCATTTACCATATTGAAACATATGATGTGACCACTATTAGAGCTAGCACTCCAATGTTTCTTATGTCTCGAAAAATTAAATCTTTAGGAGTAAAAATGGTTATATCTGGGGAAGGTTCAGATGAAATCTTTGGAGGTTATCTGTATTTCCACAAGGCACCCAACAAAGAGGAATTTCATCAAGAAACATGTCGAAAGGTATTCTATCCAAATGAGGATTTATGTACTACTTTGCACGAAATTCATATATCTCAATGTTCTGATGTCGATTTGATATTTCAACAGATTAAAGCTCTTCATCTTTATGACTGCTTGAGAGCAAATAAATCAACCTCTGCATGGGGTGTTGAAGCCCGTGTACCCTTCTTAGATAAAGAGTTCATTGACCTTGCAATGAGTATAGATCCAGAATGGAAAATGGTATAGAACTTCTTGACCTACATATTCTTCTATTTTGAGCTGTATATGTACCATAGTTTGTTATATGATACAAGCTGATTATGATTCGAATTATTGGCTTGTGATGAGTAAAAATGAGTTCATTTTGTTTGAAAACAACAGTGAATCAGATGGATTTGTTTTCTCACTTACTGCATGTATGATTCTCCTTTCACACTTTGTTCTCTAGTTTTACCTTCTTTGAGCCATGATATCTGAAAATACTTGTGTGTATCTGGTCCTTGTATTATACTATCTTTACACTTTTGACACATTCTGCAGATTATATTTTATGAGAGGTCTTTTTATCATGTTACTTTGTTAGTATGTCAACATAATTGTTTCTATAATCTAAACGCCGGGAAACTTGATTACTGCTTATATACCATTAATGGTAGCAAATTTTTCACTGATCGCAGATCAGGCCTGATCTTAGAAGGATAGAGAAGTGGGTCTTACGCAATGCATTTGATGATGAAGAGAAGCCATACTTGCCAAAGGTTTTTCACCTCCTGCTTTTGAACATGTTCAACCATGAGCTAATGCTCTATATCATTTTGCTTTTCCTATCGTTTTCCCTGCAATATTTTTTGTCAGACCGTTATCATTTTTCAGTACCCTTGTGCAAATATGCTTGCTTGGATTTGCTAAATTTGTTTTTTTTTTTTTCTTTGGTAAAGCACATATTATACAGGCAGAAGGAACAATTCAGTGACGGAGTTGGTTACAGTTGGATTGATGGCCTAAGGGATCATGCAAACCAGCATGTATGTGATAGTTTTAACTTATTAATAGATTTGATCTGTTACAATTCAACTCTTTTCAGTCATTAGCACAAGAAAAACAGGAGGATGTATCAGTGCTTTGCTGACTCATTTATGCTTTGTAACTTTCAGGTTACTGATGCAATGTTGATGAATGCAAGCTATGTATACCCTGAAAACACTCCTACCACGAAAGAGGCATACTACTACAGAACTATCTTTGAGAAATTCTTTCCAAAGGTGGGGTATTGTGTCTAAGATTCTGCCATGGCTATTATTTCATCTGTATTTAGTTTGACTTTTAAAGCATGTAGGCAGTGAAATGAAAGCTTAGATGTTGTCCGGGATTGTAATAACGATCCTTGAATTTAAATTTTATTTCTTTCCATGAGATTTTTTAACACAATGTTGATAAATTTGCTTTTTGAGTAGAATGCCGCAAGATCAACTGTTCCTGGAGGTCCAAGTGTAGCTTGCAGTACCGCTAAGGCAGTAGAGTGGGACGCCGCATGGTCTAAAAATCTGGATCCATCTGGTCGTGCTGCCCTTGGTGTGCATGCAGCTGCATATGAGGAAGCAGCAGACCCTAAACCTGCCAAGCCGATGAATGGTAATTGATTGAAGACATCAAGAGTTTGATCGAGGACTTTCTAGCCTCTTTTATCTGTGGCACAATAACAGGGCTAAGGTTAATCACTGACAATGAAGGTACAGTAACATTGGATTCAATCGAAAATTTTGAAGCATTCAACATGTCATTATCCCGTTCATTGACGGATTTGTTCCAATTTTGACAGATCTTGCGATAAAGTTGTGCTGTGGTGAACCCTGCAGATTAACATCATAATCACAGGTGTCGAAGAGCTGTTTATTATGTAAAATATCTAATCTCCAATCTTTTCAATGTTGTTGGTTAATGGCTAGGCCATGTAGAGAATTCTTTTCTTTCAAGTACTTCACTTTCCCCTTTCACTAGGGTTTCTTCCGCGGATATTTTTTATTTTTTTATTTTCACATTTCAATGTGTTAATTTCTCTGTTGTATGAAGTTTAATCATCGGTTCTTTATTGTTCGTGGAATAATAGAAGGTTCTTGATTCTGTGTTTGCATCTGTAATCATTTTTTATCACGTCAAGGATCTTAAGTGAAACGGATTCTAAGTTCATAGTTTGATATCAATGATTCAATATGAATAACATTATCAGTACAGTATTTTTAGTCACGGTGTTTCGGTAATGTATCCTTCTTTGTTATTAAAATATCTCGACTCCGTTCGGTTTATTATTTCTATTTATATTTTCAATCATATTTTTAAAATACTTGTTTGGTTTATTATTTGAGAAATATTAGTATATATTTTTAATTATTTTTAGACTCTTTAAATTTATTAATTTCATAAATATCCTAAAAAAAAGTTTAAAATTATAAAAACACCCTTATCCATATATACTTGTCAGATTTCGGTAACCATCGTCGATAGTAGTCGGAATCTGTTAGAATGGTTTACAAACGATTGAAACTGGTCGATAATTTACAGATCTGTGACAGCCATATCTTTGACCGTCAGATCTAGACTTTTGCGGTCGTTGACAGTCAGATTTGGCCTTTTTCGGTCAGATCCATGGTGGATTTGACCGAAAAAGGCCATATCGACGTCTTACCCGTTAGATCCAACCGGTTTACGTCGTAACGCCATTTTCTGGCCAGATTCCAACAGGGTGGGTGAGGGTGTTTTTGTTATTTTACAAAATTTTTATATATTGAGGTGTTTAATTAAATTAGCAAACCTAAAGGGTTTTTTTTTTGGTAGATTTTTAAATTTTACCTCGTAATACTCTCCTATTCAACTACCCAATATTATTCCCAAAATCTTATCCAAAATAATAAAACAAACGAACTCGTAGGAATGAAGCACATTTTTATGAATGGTTTTCACATGCAATTTAATATTTGAGACGAAAGGCTGGAATATTATTCACCATGTAGATCTTGATGAAGAAACAAAAAATTCTAACTCTTTTTAAGGCATCAAGTTTTGGAATGCCTTGAAAAGCATTGGCGAAACCTGGAAAGCATTAGCAAAAGTCAATCAATTAGTAAGATTTATGCATATGAATATGATTAACTAAATCATTAATCATTATACGTATTACATTTATATATGTATATAAGCAAAACTGCATGAAACTACACAAGTGTTATCTGTATATACAGGATTATGTACAAAAAGCGTTACGTTTATTATTCGACGTCTTGACATGTACACGAAAATTACCACTGGTTGTTAACCAGGTCATTGAGCGACATCTCCAACAGTTTTCAACACAAATCAAGAGATTAACACGATGATCTATCTCATGCTTGAATGACGCTCACCACCGGCTGATGCCAGGCATCTCTCTTCGACTTAAAGCAAGTATTTCATCGTATTTTGAACCATATACGAAACCCCACAACTGAAATATATAAGTAAATTTCTGAACTCATGAATAAAACCCATTTGCGCTGGAAAGTAATTTTGTGTCTAAGGGACAGCAGTAGGTTTCTGCATACCTCAACTTCCTTTACTTCAAAGTCTTCGGAGTGTGCAAGGCAAGGGTTTCCATAGGTTTCCGAGACAGAACTTGACCCGTTCAATCTTAAAAGATAAAACTCGAAATATTAGCAACTGGTAAAGAAATTTACATGCTTATCAAATATATTACTCAATATGATGCAGCAATTGTGAAATTAAATCTAACAAGTGAAAAGTATAACTAGGGACTGAAATCTCACAGATCACCATCCAGATACAATGCAAAGTGCCCACCACCGCCAATAGCTAGAAAGTCGGTGGAGCACAACGTGTAATATCGATTTGCACCTGTTCAAGTACAGCAGTCAGTTCCACCACATTTATGACAAAAGATAAAAGGGTTTTTAACAGATCAAACGCAGTCTAGTGTTTCAAAATTTTGATTAGATGCATTTCAAAAGAATCAATTCTCATATAATAACACACTAGCATGTCCATCAAATAAGTAGAAATTGCAGTTTTTGCTCTGCTTTTTAAAGAAAGAAATGATATATGATACACGTAAAGATATCAAGCTTGATGATCACAAAAGAAGATTGGAACTTAGAAAGTCGTAGCCTAAAAAAATGAAGACGGAAATACCTGTGGGGCGGAATATAACCGGATCGCCGGGTGTATTTGTGAAAACAAATGTACTATTAGTTCCCTGGTCAAAAGTAAATGTTAAGAAGATATATAAAAGTAAATCCTCATCGAATGAACTTAGGCAAAGTATGTGGTTAGCACCACCTGATATTTCTTGTTAGTCGGTTTTAGGGGTGCCTCAACCAGTCCACCAAATACTGCACCTTTGCGGTCTCCAACAACCTAAATGAAAATTGAGACAAGTATAAAATTTGCATGTCAACTCCATGAACAACACCTCAAAGTTTTTTAAGACATTAAAAAAGATCTAAACATTGGTTCTAAGAAACAAAATGAAACATAAATGCATGGAAAATAAGTCAACTCTGCATAAAATTTAACTATTCATTACCAGCAAACTGAGGCCTGGCCAAAGCATGCTTCTTCTGTACAAAGTTGAAAGTGATATGCCATGCCTCCATGTACTGCAAAGAGCAGACAAGCTATATATTCAATGAAATGACACTTGATAATATTAGCAACACACTAAATACAAAAAAAGACCCAAAACTTTCAATTCTCATGTTTCTCCACCTGTAGAGCAACAACCATTTCCTCCCTTGAACAAGTCCTGGTAGTAATGCATAAAGGGAACTTCTTGTTTTCTCAGTGAGAAGCAGTGAAGGTTCAGAAATTTCTGGAACTTCTTTTGAAGCTGCAGGCTCTTCCACATTCTGCATATGCCTCATTTCAAGTCCATCAAATTCGGCTTCAGTTTCATCATCACTTTTCATGTCAGTATCAACCTTGTTATCCTGGCTTCGATACCCACTGATTCTAGCAGCTTGGTAAATAGTTCTGAGAGAACTTTTACCCCTAGAAAATAAGCTCTTCCTTCCTCCATTCTCTTTCATTCCAGCTTTAGACAGTGCATCACTTGTCTCTTCTTGATAACCAATTTGCTCCTCTGAGTTTGGATTATGCACAGAATCCGAAGATAATAGAGAATAGAGGAACGCACTAAATGAAGATGTATCCGGTCCATCAACTAAATCCCCAGCCTCCTCTTCATTAATTGACTTAAGCTGTCCATTTTTCGAATCATTTTCATCTACCTAAGAAAACCAATGCTCATATCATTGAAAGTTTGAAACTAGAACAGCATATCGAAAACTTTAAACCTAAATACAATACTTCAACTAACATCCACAAAACACTGGAAGCTATTTATACAAGGTTGCAAATTATGCACAAGCAATAACTTACAAATTCTCAACAGACGAAAACTTTCGTTCACCAACGCTGACGGAAACCATAACAAATAAAGACACCCACAAATCCTAAAATCAAACCCTAGTAAAAACACAGTTTCAAAACATCACCTAACATCCAAAACTTTAATATCAATGATATTTGAACGACTTATTAGAGAGCTTAAACGTAAAAAAAAAAAATAATAATAATAAACTTCAACTAACATCCACAGATTGTCTTATGTAGTAGATTACAAATTCTAAATCTTTTCAACTGACAGTTAGAACCCTAAACCATTCACCTACACTGCCAGAAACTAAAACCCTAAATTATCAAATTCCCAGATGGGATTTTAACCGATAATCAAAAGATTGAAACCTCATAACAAAACCAACTCCTCAAAAATAACCCCAGATGAGAAAACCAATAAGATAAAAACTTTCTAAAATTGTTCACTTACCTGAGGAGGAGGAGAAGGGTGTTTAGAAGGCTTATCAGAGATGGGGTTAAGCAAGACAGTGGTGAGATCAGAGACTAAGTGAACTGCTTTGCTCCTTAAAGACTTTTGCTTTCCCATATTTTATGAGATAAATTGATGAATGGTTTGAATTTTGCAATTCGCACCACAAAATCTTTTTTCATGCAAATTGGTAGTGGTGGTGGTGGTGGAAGATAAAAAAAAAAAAATAAAAAAAATTATTTTATAATTTGGCCAAAAAGAATGATGATTTAAAGTGTAATTAACACATCTCTTGAAGCTAATTGTTGGTGTTTTTTCTTTTTGGGAGTGTTTTAGGTGGCGGAGTGTTGGTTGTACCTTTAAAGTTACTCTTTATCTCCTTCATTCTTCGATTTTCTGTTACCACACAAAATCAAGAGTGTTAAATATTATTTATAGATAGTACAACAATTAAGACTCCATGGCCCAATGGATAAGGCGCTGGTCTACGGAACCAGAGATTCTGGGTTCGATCCCCAGTGGAGTCGACACTCTCATTTTTAATTAAATTTTCTTTATTCTTTTCTAAATTTGGTTCTTGGTAAAAATTACATATCTCCATTCTTTTTTAAAATTGATTATTATTATTGGTGGTTTATTCTTTTTCTAAATTTAGTTATTGGTAAAAAAAATATATCTTCTTTCTTTTCTAAAACTGATTATTATTATTGGTTATTGAAAATTTGTGTGGACATCGTTTTACTATATTTTTAGTAGGAGGAATTATTATGTTTTGAAATACCCATTATAATGTGCTTATAGCCTTCATTATTTAAGAGTTACCAACCAAAACATTGATATTATTTTTTTTGTTCCATATGGGTGAAATGGACCTATCTATAAAGGTTGTTGCTATAATTACGAGACTTGAACTTTATTGCGAGGCAAGCTAGAAATCTAGGTACACTTTCTCTTGGTGGTATTCTTCCCCTTACTTGTTTTGTTCCAAAGATGAAATTCTTAATGTTAGTTGGTTGTATTCTCCGATTTTAGAAATAATAGCTTGTTTTACAGTTGGATCAACCGTATTTTATATGTTTCTGATTTATTTACTTACTTTTGAAGGACATTTTAACATTCGTTTTCAAAATTACAGTGGAAAAAAAACTTCTTCTTCTATTCAATATTGATATGGGGTAAAGAATTGCCAAAGTCAGTTAAAAAAATATGATACACTATTGAGGTTGAGGGGCTGATTATATTAGAAGAATTTATTATTACACTGTCGATAGTGTCATACCATATTATAAGTCTCGTAACATTCTCTTATCGATATTCTTATAATAAAAATGTTGGTTTCTATATCAATGTACTTTTAGTAAGACTGGTATTTGATGGTTGAAAGCTTAGCTATGATAATAAAAGAAAACATTTTTCAGTAATATTTTTCATTAACATGGGCCAAGCGAAAACTAAATTAATGTAAGTGGGCCTTTTGATTTGCCACTCTGTAGAGCTTCTAAGGCCCATCAGCATTATTTTATTTGAATAATACTACACATACATCATTCTCATACAATATTTCTCATACAACATTATGTGACAAGATATGATTGAGTAAAAGTTTAATTTTAACTTTAAATTAACCAATCATATTTTGCCACATAATGTTGTATGAGAAATATTATATGCAAATGATGTATGTGTAGTATTACTCATTTTATTTTTCTTAGTTTAAATTTGAAAGCGTCCTACCTAATTATATTATTAATAACATATAGTTGTATGATATTTAGGTAAGATGACAAAGACTTTCAAACGAATAACATAATCTTCATCAAATAATTTATTGATTTTGATAAAGCATAGCCAAATTTGAATTAGACTAATGTTTACTTATTTTAAATCAAAGAAAAGACACAGGTATGTATATGAACTTATTAGTTCAATTATTTATTTGACTCTTATATATACATTACAAAATGATATTGTATTGTTCTATATTTCAATAATAATTGATTATATAGATAAATCCAAATAGGCTAAGGTTGGTCTAGGTCTAAATTCAAATTCTAACTTCAATGATAAACTTGTCCTTAACCCTTATAAAATCCATATGACCTCCACGGTCCCCACTCAATTTTTAAAAAATTTCTGATTTTATATTTATTTAAATTTTACCCCTATAGAACTTTGAGATTTGGGGAACAGAACGGCCTCCACAGTAAGTTTGGATTGTGTTTTTGTAAAACCTCGTTTTTAATCCTAATATATATGAAATATTTTTTGTGATTTTTATTTTATGCAAGGGGATCTGTTAGTTTTTAAAAGTTTTATTATGAGTGAAAATGAAAGGAATAAGAGCTGCTGGGTATGCATGTAATTGAGGGAAGAAATCTGGGCATTTTTACAACAGAAATCTGATGTGGCAAGGTCATGGTGAGAATAAGAGAATTTTGGGGCAATTTCATAATTCAAAGAAGATGTTTTATATATAAACTGGGTTGTTCGCCCAAAATGAAGAAGAAGAGAGAAAAACTCATAAAGAATAGGCAAAGGAAAAGGAAAAAGAGAAGAGAGGGAAGAACGGGTTTGGCCAATTTTATACATCTGATTTTTCTGCACTTGAGTTGATTGTACTTGAGAACTAGGCTCAGACTTATGTTATTGACATGTGTTCTTGTGATGAATTTGCTGAGTTACAAGGAATTGAAGATTTGGCTAAGAATTTAGTTCGATTTAAAAAAGACATTTTGTATCCGTTGGTGTATAAGCTTGTGAAACTTGTATTGGTTTTACCAGTTGCAATTGTGATCGTTGAAAGGGTTTTTTCTGCAATAAATCTTGTAAAAAATCAGTTACGCAATCGAATGGGAGATCAATGAATGAGTGATTGCTTGGTCACCTATATTGAGAAAGATGTATTTGATACAATTGACGATGAAATGATTATTCAATATTTTTAGAATATGAAAACTCGTCGAGGACAATTGTAGAAAAATTGTTTTATTTTTACAAAAATTGTGTTTTTTTAAGATATTTATTTGTATTTTATAACTTTTTATTGAAGTTCATCGTAATGAAAAAAGAAGTATGGTTATGATTAGTTTTAATTTTTTTGTTTTGTTTATTTTTTGCCCACATCGAGTGAAATTCCTCGATCTGCCACTGACCAAATCCATGGCCATTAATAGCCAGATCCATGCTGCATGACAGCGGAATAGATTTGGCTGTTCCGGCTATATCCATGGCCCCCTGGCTGTTTCTAGTCATTGATCTAGCCGAAAATGGCTGTCTAGATCTGGTTATTCGTTCGCCTTTTCAGCGACTGCTAGTATCGGTCGGTAGTCGCTTGGTGTGGGTGGTGGGGTGATTTTTTTAGAAATTAAACTCTTATGTGGTTAGGGTGTTTTAGTAAAATCTCAAATGTAGGGGGTTAAAAAAATGATTCAAAAAATAATAATAATATTTAAAAATGAGGGCAATTTAATAATTTATATAACATACCCCACCAATTTATCTAACAAATTTATTCCAACTAATCAAATACGCTATTAATTTTTGGAGGTTTTCCTAAATTATAACCCTATATAATTGTTTCATCTAACCAGAGGTGGAGCTGCCTGTGTTTCAATGTATAGTTTATGCAAATAATTAGATGAAAAAAATAATTTTATAATAGCGTAAAACGAAGGATGCTCTTCGATTATTACAGGAAATTTATAGACGACTACATATATATATATGATCCTTCATAATAATGGCTACATTATTATTATAAAATGTAAAAACATTTGGACTCTATATTTGACGTAGGAATAATTAGCAATACTAATTATGATTAATAAAATAATTTTCAAGTTGATGAAATCAAAGGATGCTTCTAAACTTTTAATAAATAAATAATTGAGTTTTAGAGAACCAAAGATTCATATATAGTTCAACTTTAAAATTTTTCTTATAGCTCCCGGAGAGATGGATAGTTTGATTCCTTCTTCATAGAAGCCTTAGGGAGACGTAATTCCAATGCTCAGAGTACCAAAATTACTTCATTCCAAAGGTTTTTACATAACTTTTGTAAACATTGAGTAAAACCACAAACGCCTACTTAAAGCAAGGGGCGCCCCTGATGCCCTCAATGGTTTACTTGACTTTTGTTTCGAAAGTATTCCAGATGGCTTGCCTCCTATCGATGCTGATGCTACTGGAGACATTCCATCTCTTTGTGACTCTACAACTAAAAACTTCTTAGTCCTATTTTGCAATCCTATCACTTGCATTATCTCCAATGGAGTTATGGGGTGCATGTGTTGTACTAGCATTTGCGTATTTTGCAGATCTTATTGTTGAAGGTTTTACACCTTTAAAGGTATAACTTTACCTACAATCTTTTTTTTTTTTCCCCTCCTTAAACATATTCATAGCTACAGAATAAGAGTTTTTATAGTATGTTCAACCCATCTAGAAGAATAGATTGGCATCGATAAATTCATTGAGTTTGTAATAGTATGAGATAGTCATTTTATTTTCCGTTTTGTGGCTAATAGAACTCCTTTAAGACAATCTTGTTTGGTAGATGTGTTTCAATTTGTAACACGGTTGGGTAAACTAGCAAAAGAAGCTAAAGACAATACTTGTGGACAACATTTTAAAACCAAGGCCCATTGGCCTCTAACTATTGTTCATCGAAAAGAGATCATGTTTCGAAAGGGACCACCTACTAATAGAGGTAATCATTAAAGGCTTATCTGGCTATTAACTTCAGGGCTCTAGGAGAATAGCCGAGGTGTGCACAAGCCCAAACACCCCCCGGGAACCAAAAAAAAAAAAAAAAAAAAGATCATGTTTCGAAAGGGACCACCTAGTAGATATGATGCAAGAAAGAGTAATAGGTAGCAAGAATCTCTACCCACATGTCAGTTGTCCACCACCTATCTATCAACGACCTTTTTACATGGATATCTTTGAAATTTAGTTTAAAAAACAAAAAGACTCGTATGTTTCGAAATGAAATGCGTATACCTTTATAATCGAAAGATATTTGTGGTACAAGTTTTTTATTATCCAAATGTCAAAATTTAATATTTTTAAATTATTTAATATATTCATTAATAATAATGCTATAGACACCGAATTTTTGTACTAAAGAACGTTACATCTAGTCAGACATGGTCACGTTGGACACAAAACACGTCTTTCATGAATGAACGATTATCCAACAATTGTGGACGCCCGTCCATATTTGATGGATGACCATTCATCATGAATGGAAGAACGTCTACAACAATATCAATGAACTCCCGTTTATATTATATGGACGGGCGTCCATATTAGACGGATGCCCATCTAGAAAATTTAAAAAACAAAA